GAGACCATTCGCCACACGCAACGACCCCCCCTTGGGTTCCGTTTTTGCTTAGGAGACCCATGCTACCCAGTCTACCGGGGCAAAGACATCGGGGGGTCTCTCGGATTCTCAAGCACGCGCCATGGATGTTTTTTTCCATATGATCAACCCCCCCTTGTTGTCCCCTACCTGCTGATCCCGGCGACGCCAAAAGAACGAGAAACGTCTCGGTGGACTGCAGGCACCGACATGGTGATGGTGCGCCGTGGCAAGAAGTGGCCTGGCTGGAGAACCGGCATCCAAGGCCTGGGGCTCCCGGCGGTGCAGCCACCGGTGTTGGGGGGATCGAACCAGGCGATGGGTTCTTCGTGGAGGTCCGGGTTTTGGGACCTCAAAGCTCCGCACTTTGGCACGTGGTGGTTTGGCCGGAGATCGAGGTTCCGGAGATCAAGGTTGATGAGAGAGGGATCTGGAAGAGCACTTGAAAGCAATAGACTTGTCCAGTTTTTCTGTTAGGCCGATTTTCGGACTCACTGCTCTAGAATAGCCACAGGACCATGAACTTGTTGAAGGTAAGAGCCCTGAGTCTGCCGAACAGGCCGAACAGCTATCTTCCATTGTTCTGTGGGCCTTGTGTGATGAGAGAATATTGTCACCCATCCCCACCCATCCCCAACCAGTGAACCATTCGGTGCACCACAGATCGAACAGCTAGCAGCTAGCAGCTGTCGCTAACTCAGAGTACCTATATAACAGATTGGTAACCCGATTCCGGCCTGAGCTTCTTTTGGGGACACAAAAAAGTGGACACTATCATGGAGCATTGCAAAGCGCTCCTCAAAAGTACTTGGGATGTTCCTTTAAGCCGATATGATACCAGCAACTCATGCCGCACCAATCCTCATGTGGTGGTTTAAGATATTTCTATTTGCAGCCTTTACTTGAGATAATTCATCCCACGGACCAATATTTTTCAAGTGAGTTGGCAAGAACCAGTCATACTTCAGACCAATCTGCCATCAGTCCCCATGATTTGTTGTTTCCAAAGCATCGGTGTATCGGACTCTGCTGAGCAAATGTGTTTGGGTGGAAACAGAGTGAGCTTATTGCTTCTATGTACCTCTATCGAGATCGCCAAGTAGTAGCTAGACCAGTGGATCCCAGCTAGTTGGTATCAGGAAAAAATGCATTCTACTGCTAGGTCTATTCTTTTAGCCAGCGGAAAACCAAGACTAGCTGCCTCCCAATACAAACAGTTGATCCACCAATATTTTTGGTGTATCTGTATGATCATGTTATACAGTCAAAGGATCGTCAGGTAAGTATATGATATACAAGATATACAAGATACAAATTCATTTATCAACGCACTCGTTTTCGAGAGGTCAAACGGATCATATATATCCTTTGTGCGATCCACTGAGATTCATCCCGTTTTTTTTGGGTCTGTCACTTCCCCTCTCACTACATTTGGAGCATATTTCTAACACACTTGCCTCGCATTGAACTCTGAGCAGCTGGGCCTGCGTCCGGCTGTGCTCAACGCCCCGTTCACCAGGCGGTGAGGGTGCGGGCCGGCGCCTCTGCTCCTCGGTGTGGCGTTGCGTTGCCGACGCGAGACGCGCGGGAAAGCGGGTGGGAGCGACACCGATTTTGGGGGGGGCTCCGAGCCCGAGTCCGAAGCCAGGTTGCTTCGCAGATGCTGTTGTTTGTTATTTGTTGTTGTCGTTTATTACACATTTTTTTTGATTTTTCAATCATTTGGAGTCCAAGACTTGTGCTTTGCAGGGTTTGTTTGGTGGCTGGTGAAGATACAGACACAACTATCATGGTGGCACACCACTTCAAGTCCTTGTTTGCTTTATATCATGGTGCGCCACAACCTCTCAGATTCGTTTAAACAAACAACACGGTGTGGGACTGACGTCAGTCCGTACGACCCGCCACGAGGTCCCCGCCTGTGAACGACCTTCTCTCCGACAATTCATTGGCCCAATGACAAGCCACGACACTCCAACCACCTGGAAAAGAACTCGTTGTGCCCTCCACAAACGAGGCGTCCACCAGAAAAAACATCGTGATTAAGGCACCAACTACATACGATATGGATCGATATGGGATTTCTGATTTCTACCTCTCCTAGGCTGGACACCTGAAGTTCCCAGCCTCTTTCGTCTCCTTTTTGGCGGTCCCGGTTCGAGGCTCTCACGTCGACTGGTTCGAGACCGACCCGGCCGGTCGGCGCTGCGTCTTCCGTGGCGAGGCGGCGGAGGGTCGAATGAGGAGGTTGGGGGCCCCATCCAGGGCCCCCCTACTGAAGTCATGTGATGTGTTCGGGTCGGAGATGAAGATCATCTTCCACACCCAACACCGCAAAACAACCTCGTGCGGAGGGTCGACCAGATGGGAACGCCCGCCAGGACCCGGTTCGGATCACCCGCCACGGTTCGGATCTCGCCAGGACACGCAACGGGCGCCCTCGAAGAAGTTGGATCCTCTGTGGCAGTCCTTTGGAGGCCGAAGCTGCGCGTGGAAGCGGCGCGCGCACCTGAGAGCTTTTTCTGAAGTAGAGGTGTCCAGTGGTCTTCGTTTTTTGCTCCTGCTGGATCTTTGCCTCCCAAAGCTTTGAGACACACCCACAGCATCTTGCTTCGCTTCGAGTCATCAAAAACTGGACAGGCCGTGTGCTGTTGGAGCGGATCTCTGAAGAAGAGCAGCTGCAGATCTTCAAAGCTTTACTTCTATCAGAAGTTATTTGGCTTCGACCATGAGAGCGCCCCATCAGTCAGAGGGAAGAGCATCGAGACCAGCCACCGTGTCACCCTTTTTCAAGACGAGCCACCCATCCCATACCAGAACCCTCCAAGTACGGCTGTTTGGGACACAACCGGTTTTCCTTTCGGAGGAAACTGGTCACCTGGAACCACAGAAGATCTTCTCTCGAAGATCCAGGTATATGGTATATATGGATCTCTATTAGAATTATACCTATACAATGGCTCGCCCAACCCCTTCTTGAAATCCTAATAGGGATATATATGGTATACGGTATGGCCCCCTTTTTTCCAGACACACATGGACTCTTCACCCCCAAAGGCCTTCGCCCGGCGCCACGGTCTCCCGGAACCCAGCTTCGGACGGTTCAGTCGTCTTCGGTCGGAACCCTCGTGGGGTCGAAAGAGAGCTTTGGCTTCTTGCTCCGTTCGTAGCGATGACCTACCCCATAGTAGCTTCTGGCCTCCACTCTACTTGTTGGTTGGCTTCTTGCTACTACCTAGTGCCAACACGAGATTCCGGGGGGAGATGTCCGATTGTACGAGGTTGCAGTGGGTGGGCTTGCCTGTGAAACAAAGGGGTTGCAGTGGCTGGGGAGTGGAGTTCCACGTGAAAAGCCCATGCTTCTATTCACAAGGGAACCTGTTTGACCATTGTTTTTGGAGTATCAACCACCCCAAAACAAATAGGCTCCCCGTCCCCTCCCTTTGTACCTTTATAGCAACAAGCAGGGGTCACCCAAAATGGGTTCTCTGTTTGCAGTGCTTCCAAGACATCGGACATTTAACGGATAGACACACCGTCTTCTACCTGGATCCTTCAACGGATTGGTCAACCGTCACCAGGTCTGGATTGGTTGTCCCAACAACAGCCGTATCGGTGTCCCAAATCCTGGTGACAACGTGCTGTCCCAACATTTTGGAAGTTCACTCGGTGATTGGGCCCTCTGTGATTCTCCCGAACTGGGTGAATCCCCCGACGTGTCCCTAGGGAGAATATGGCGTTGGATCGTTGGTCCCCGGGTTCCATGGCAAATGGACACTGGAGTCACTGGAGACTGGAGACTGGATTGATGAGAGGTAAGGAGGTCAAGGATGGGAAACGGACCCCAAGATTCTTCTCATGGTGGTTCGTCTACCCAGTTTGTAGAGGATTTCAATCGTGTTTCATCCACAAGACGAGTTTTTTTCCACACAGGCTTGGTTCGATGTCTTTTGTTCTTTTGACCACCTTCGGCGACTTGGACATACGGACCAGAAACGGCGGACCCGCTGGCGACGCCGACGGTCTTCTGTGAGGCTTCCGCCCTGTGGGGGAGGAGCCCAAGCTGAGGGTGAAAAGAGCTGTGCTGCGAAGTGGAGAAGTGGGATGAGAAGACTGGGGGAATGGAAGGTGAAGATGAGAATTCATTCAGCTCAATGCAGACCTTTGGGTGCAATTTGTACCCTGGGATGTTCACCAAGAGTGCCCGCACTTCAAATCGGACCTCCACGGTGATCCAGGGTGATAAAGCAGGTTGGAGACATCTTCGAAGACCTGAAGTGGACACAGCCTTTCGCTGTACGCCTGTAAGTAGCCAAACGACCCCACCTTCTTAGGAGGGTGTTTGGATCCTCAGGACCCACTGGTTGGGGTTGATCGACACCCTTTCAGCTGGCCTGTTCTGCTTCATTTTTGGGTCCGGGAAAGGAACTGTCCATGAGAAGGGCCAAGATTCTGATTCCGAGATTCCAGACTAAGGCACGCAGCTCGGTTTTGGCCTTTCTTCTGGATGGGTCCGTTTTGAACAGAGAAAGAGGATCCGTTCCTGGAGAACATCAAGATGAGTCTCGTTCCGACATCCGGGTGAGACCAGAGTTCGGGTTCCGAGGGAAGATCATTCCAAGTCCGTTGGTTTTGGACCCCCCAACCACCCAAGATATATCTCAGGACCATCCAATGGGTGGCCAATGGGACTACCCTACACTACTTAGGGATCTCCATTGGACACCATTTGGATGGTCCAGGTCAGTCCCTTTTTATTTCCGTGTGCGGTGCCAGTTGAGAATGACTCCTGGCATCCTGGTATGACTGCAAAGAGGGAGACTGCAAAGACCCCTCCAAAGACAGGCCGTTTTGGTATGATTTTGGACTCTTCCAGTTCCTCCCACCGGGGCGGTGTCTTTCCATGTCTTTCCCATAAACACCCATACAACCGACATGACATACAACAGTGGGAGCGGCGGCCCGTGGTCTCTCATCGCGAGGTTCCAATGGAAGTCTCAGTGACTGTGAGGCCCAACAGGTTGGGACCTGGGGCGATGGTGGGACCGGGACGGATGGTGCTGTGGGGAGTGGGGACGGAGCTTGGTCCGGCGCATCGGAGCTTCGACTCCCACGGAGCTTCGGAGCATTCGGAGTCGCAGCAAAGCAATCGTGTTCAAAGAGCGAAGGGTTTGAACCGTTTCAAAAGATAAGATGTTGAATACCTCCGAACCTTCAGAGAAAAGGACAGGCAAGTTTTTGTTGGCAAACAAACATCAATCAAGAACTCCCACACCCACAACTGGGTATGAGGTCCAGAATTATTGTAATCTTGACCGGAAGGAAGTGGTAGAAGCGACGTCTTCTTTCGCGTGGAAACCACTGGACGAGGCTGGATCGACCTCGGGCTGGATCTCCAGGTGGCCTCGGGCTGGATCTCCAGCGTCCGCAGTTGGCTGTCCCTCCCGGCCGACGGCTCCGTGGCGTCGTCCAGTTCGGACGCCCAGCCAAGACAAGGAGATCGATGCCCGACGGCCGGGTAGCAGATCGATGGGGGCCTGGTGGGTGGTTCGTAGCTGGTTGGGAGGGTGAGTGATGTTGGGGTTGGATGTGTGGGGGTATGGTGAGCTGAGCAGATGGGCTCAACAGGAGAAACAGGAGCCTGCAAGAGGAGGTTTTTCAAGCTTGATCAGCTTGATAGATCTGGAGGCTGAAGGTGCACGCTTAAAGAAGATTAGTTGATACACTTCCCGGAACATTCTCTTTGAAAGGAACATCATGGTGACCGGCTGCTGCCAGTGGCCAGGTCGCTCATGGAGCGGTGAACTTCCCACTTTCAGATGGCTTGAGCAAATCTACACCACTGATAGCTGCCACAAATCAGCACGCTGACATGCAAGAGGACATGCAAAGAACATTTCTTTCCTCTTTGCAATGATCTGACACCGAGGCACAACTTGGTTGTTCCCCAATGCAGGAACCCTTTACATCGAGAAACCACGAATGCACGGAAGGCACGAAAGCAAGAAACTAAGGGCTTTGCCGAACGAAAAGCAAAACTGGTTGCGGATTCAAGTACATCAAGAGGTTCCTTAATAACGAATATTGAAAAAGCGGTGGTGTCGTCAACGTAAAGGACATCATTCCGTGTTTTCTTTGTGCTGGTCAGAGTGTTCTGAAACCAGCGTGCAGCATGGAGGCCACCTACAAGTGAAGGCCGGGACGCAATGCCTGGCTTTACTGAAGAAAAACCTAATCTGCGTGCTGACAAAGCCTTGGTACAATATGCGAAAGGCATGGCAATGACCCCTTTGCGAACAAGCGTTTTGAAACAAATGGTGAAGGTGCTAATATCCCGTCGCAAGGTGGGAGAGAGTGAGAAACGCAAGCGGATTCTGTTTGGAAGCGTACCTAGCAGCGACCCCACTCTTCTTAGTCCCAGGAATGCGTGTTGGGGCTAGTGTACGTGCGTGCGCAATGAAGTGGATATACAATTCACACCAAGGGATGTCATTTTCAGGACAAACAGGCTCGCCATGAGGCCAGCGCAGCAAAATCACCCATTGCAGTAAGGCATGAATAATCGCAGTTGGCCAGTTGTCTTGTGCTTGACAGACCTGGTCGCGTTTCTCCCCGTCGATGTTAAGAACAAGTGCATTGTCTGAATTGGTTCTTGCAGCTTCACAATATGGGTGTCAACAAGATTGCTGCAGCCCAAGAAAACCCTAATTATATATATATGATGTATATATCACCAGAATTGAAGAAACGCCAGTTCATCAGCAGAGGATTTTGATTCATCTTTCAGCCGATCATGTACCAGGTCAATTCTGTGCAGACTGTTGTATCCTTGTATTCATTTTGTACATGAGGTTCTATCATGCTATATCATCTTGTTTCATTTGTTTACATCCTTTTTGGTCTGTCACCGCATTTCACTGGTGCATGGCACATCTGACCCTCTTATATACTTTAAACTCATCTCTTTCATCTTTCGTGGCTGGACTCAGAAAGGCAGACCACCAGACCACCCAAGGGAAGCTCCAAACCGCAAAACCCACGGTCCTTTCCTCCCGCGGCTCCGCCCTGCGGCAGCTCTGACTCCGGGGGGGGGGCCCGGACCGGACCGGACCGCCCCAGATGGAGCTTCAGTGAAGCTGCGCGCGGCCCGCCCACGCCCGGGGAGCGAAGAGAGCGCGCAGAGCGACGCGCAGCGGAGTCTCATGGGTTGGGTGGGAGATGACTTACAATCTGGGGTACCTAAGACAAGAGGCTGAACAGGTCTAAGACAACACGACTTTCGGGCTTGAAGGTTTGAAGGCCAAACGGAAGTTGAGACAGGGGTGCATTCGGTGGTTTGCTGGTGGATATGTATATATATATATATTTTCAATACAGTGGTTATGGAGTAGATGGCACAACCCCAAGATGTCTTTAAGATGGGGATCCATATAAAACACCTCTTGGAGTCTGCACCATCTCTGAAACCACAATATATCTAAAAATATTTTCATGCATGTTCATAGTCTCTGGACTGCTGCATCCTCCACCACCTGCGAAAAAAGACATCCCCCTACAACTGCAGTGTTTGGGTGTTTGATGAAGTCTGGACGAGGTTGTAAAATCATCTAACCTTCAATTTTTTGCGCTATTGGAGGTTTGTCAGGATTGCTATTTGAGGTTTGCTTTTCCCATTCCAGGCCTCCAACGGCGGACGCCCACCGACCGAGGCGTTGATGGCATCGCTGATTGGGAGCTGCAGATTTTGGCGCGCCGGGTGGACCTAGCGGCTCTGAAAAGGTCCGAATGATGAAAAGGTCCAAGCGACGTCAGCAGCGTGCTGACGCGTCCAGCTTCCATTTCGGATGGTTGCCTGATGACCCTCCATCCAACAATCATAGTTTCCACAAACAGCACGGCTGTATTCCACTTCCAATTCAGGGAGTCTACCCTTCCTGCTTGGACGTTCTGGCCTGGCCCATGGAAAGACCATGAAATCGTCCAGAAACGGGGGGGGCCATCCACGTAACCATGGAACTGGTTGTTTGCACATGGAACTGGGCATGGCATGGACTTGTAAGGAAGACGTTCGCTGGAGCCCCACTTTCAGCGGTGGAGATGCAGGTTCCATGTGAATCAGTCCAGGGCGTAGTGGGGCGGTCAGTTTCGTCAGGGCCGTGCTGGTGGAAGCAACTGACTCTTTGCGTTTGGACCTTCCAATAAGTGCAATCTCATGATCAACAAGGAGTTCCTGAGACTATGAGTCATCAGCAATTCATTTGCAGCCCAGCGTAGGTTCTTCTTTTTGACCATGCATGAAGTTCATTCCCCCGCAATTCGGGGACATCGTATTCAACACTCAGTTGTAGCCCATAGACATCAGGGTCTTCCCGCGTCAACAAATCAGTGACCGGCAGTTTTGTTGTGAGTCACTCTGACATGGACAGCTTTGGAGCATCTCATCTTCCAAAGGGTTGCTTCGAACGCAGGCCATGTAGAAGTCCTTGCGCAGTGTAGAAGTCCTTCATCCCTTTTTTTCCTGAGAACCCTCCCTGTTCATGTTGGGGCCCGCATGGAGGGCAGAAAGGGGAAGGGAAGTGATTGACCTAAGGAAGACTTCGAGAAGCATTTTCATACATGTTCATCAATTTGCATTCTGGTTCACTGGTATGAAGTATGGATATCGAGGTTGCTAACCTGGAATCAACTTTGTTGTTTGTGCGGAACTATTCATTCATCGCTCGTCGTGCAAACAGCGGGTTGTGGAACTGCCTGGTCACATGGCAGAACTGCAGAGAGACCTCAATTCCACCGGTCCGGCGGTCAGGTGTTGCTAAGGTGTACCCAAAGTGCTGCCTCACCACCCAAGTAGAAGTAGATGAAGCTGCCCCATGAACAAGCTGCAGGCTTGAAACATGTAGAGTGATGAACACTATACGATCCGAGATCCTTTCTTCCAACAGATGACCATCAACATGTTTACTTACACGGCCATCTACAAGTATATACGCACGATAGAATACGGGAGATTAGACAATAGGAGAATGGACATGTTTTCGGATTGGTTCATATTCCACCCCAGGATGGTTGTCACATGAAAGCATCGATGATGATGCTTGTAACAGGATCTCCCGACATTTACACTCCCTGGAACTAACATGGAAGTGGATGGCACACCTGTTTGGTATTCGGAATGCACGGCCATCCCATCCACGTTGGCCCATGTGACGTTCCAGGGATTTCTGATTCGGACTCGGCCGAAAATTCAACACCTGAGGCGCCATCCATGCTCACTTCATCCAGCGTACTGCCCTGGTGCCTAGTGACGAGGGAACTGCGCTTCACGGAACTGCTGGACGAAGAAGAAGTGGTCCAATCGGATGGGTGTGATGAAAATTGCGGAAGGAAGGAATGGATCCATTCCGAAAATCTTTGGTGGCTCAATTCCCTCATTCCCTCATTTACTGAGCAAGTCAGGCAGGAAGATCTTTGACCATCCTGAGAGGGCAGGGTCCTAATCAACCTTGACTCACGCCACTTGAGTGCCAAAAGAAAACGAAGAATGACGAAGAGTGTCTACCCTACAAGTCCCAAGACCCAGTCAAGTCCCCGGCTCTGCCATCCGTCCGTAAACCCCTGGGAGTCGAACCCGTCGACGCGCCAGGGGGTCCCGTCGGGTCCCGACCCGGGGTCCGGGTGGATCAGACCACCTGTGGTTTAGCGGTGGCCGAAACAATACTGTTGATGAACCACCAAACACCTACCAGAATGGTTTTGCATGTTGCAAATGGTATGGGGGGGTTTTCAGTCTACATGATGAAGCCGGGGCAGCCAAGAGACCCTGGTACCAGGTAATGATCCGTCCTCGTTCGCTCATCCCGAGCAGTCCATGAAGACATCTCATCTGAAAGGAGTTTTTTTCTGAGCTTTTCCACGCCATGGAGGGGGTTCAAGCTGATTTTGGGTCACTTCAATCAGCTGAGACGACAGCTGTTTTTCATCCCGTCTGACCCACGTCTTACGACCCACGTCTGACCCACGTCTCACCCTTCAGAAGGCACGTCAACCTTGCACCCGAACAAGCCGCGAAAAAATAAAGAAAGCAAAACAACAACAAACGATCCCAGGCCGAAACGCTTCAGAGCTTGGTGGAGCTCGTGGAATCTCTGCCGGATGTCGTGGTTCGCCCGGGCGCCCGATGAGACCTGGGAGAGGCTGGCGAAGAGGCTGGAGATCCACTGAGCATTTGAAACTCCGAAAAAGAGCTTCATCAAGAGGCCAGCATTGGTAGATTTCGCAGGTGGTTGAACCACCTGGCCTCTAAGTCCCTGTTATTCCAGATGTTCTCATCTCCTCCTTCTTTTTAGGGTGTCACAAGGTCTTCCAACCTCTCTCTACGCCTGCGCCTTCCAGGCCAGGAGATCGGCGCCATGGCGTTCCAGGCCGTTCCGCCTTCGGGGTCGACCGTTCGGACCGGAGCGGATCCGAAGGTCAGGTCGGTCCGGTCCCTAGGTCTCCGTTCAGATCGGGAAGGTGGTGTGGTGCGGAGACCTGTTGACGCTACGGATCCTGGGAGAGCTGAAACTTCCAGGGCAGATGAACCCCAAGACGATCACACCGAGCGCCAGCACCGAGAGAAGCAGCGGAACGTGTGGGGCTGTTGCGAAACCTTGGCGCTTCCGTGCGGCGAAACACCGCGCCGCCACGCGTGGCGCGAAAGCTCACCGCCAGGCAGTGAACAAAGCTTGGTCCTCCAACCATGCAGCGGAACGTGGAGATCTCCGTAACGCCTTAGTGCCTTGGATTTCCAAGTCGACTCGATGCGTTCAGGTAAGGTATAGCGTGACGGGCGAGGCGACCATGACGGGTGCGCCCGAGAGGAAAAGGGCTGCGTCAGGGCTCCGAGGCGTTGGAGTTTTGGAAGACTCTGGGGCTTAAGATGCATTCGAGATATCACGAAAGGTAGCTTGAGCTACCTGAGTTCTCCTTGCTTTAGCAAAAATGTATTACAATCAGGAGTTGGGATTGTGCATTGAATTTGGTCCTGTAAGAGTTGATTCTGTTCGTCGGGGGGGGGGGCCGCCCCCTCCCTGGATCGCCGGTTCACGCCGTCATGGACTTCTACCAGGGTTACTTGTGATTGCCTGCTACCTTTCGTTCACCCCCTCCTCTCTCAAGTGTACCTAGCACTTCCGGTGCTCTGTCTGGAGACCTGTTTACGTAGGGTGGGGTAGTCTAGCCAGGACACCCAGACAGGATGATCCTGGCATAATATGTAGTGTTTGTTTTTGGATGAGTTTGGTTTTCTGTTTGAGGTGCTTGGGAGGGTGTTGTCTTGAAAACACTCCGGTCGATGGGTAGCTGTGGCTGAGTCCACCTACTGAATGTTTCATGGATGAAGGACCCTTAAAAACAACTTTTTCTGTTCTAGTTTGGATGGTGTCCACAACCCATCAGTGTGTGCATTTGACAGCCTGAAAGAAACCTGGCTGGGTGGGGGAAATACCTCGAAGATGACTCGAAGTCGGAACTGGTTCGCCAAAAGGGGGGACTTCTTCTGTGTCACTCGACTCTGACTCATGCTGCTCATGGGAACCAAAGCAACGAACGTCAATCCCCTTCGGAACCATAAGGTTCCGGTCAACGAGTCAGCCGCGGGACTGACGGACTCGGCTTCGGCCGGACTTGGCTTCGGGCGGAGGCCGAGTTTCGTGGGGGGTTTCGGGCGGGGAGGCCGAGTCGCGGGAAGCCTTGATCTTAGCGCTCACCGCGATCCACGATGATTCCGTGGTCTCGCAGCTGTGCGCGGGGTCTGGGTGGCGGCGGTCACGTCGGGTCCGGTCTGGTCCGGCTGCGCGCGGGAAGGGGATTTGCTGGGATTTGGTGTGAAACCTGGAGATCCCCCTCAAAACCTGGTAATTCGGTGGACCATGCGAGACCAGAGTCTTGTTCACTTGTCTGGCACGGCCCCCAAAAGACTCGACCGCCAGGACGACCGCAAATCGCCAGTAGTAGAAATGAAAGGCAATGGAAATGAGAGCCTCCCAGGAACTGGAAGACAAGGCCAGACCCAAAGGCCAAGGAACCTGCAAAGTGCCATTGGCTCCTCGTTCGAGACGTGAGGGAGGGCACCAACTCAACAGCCCCAAGGGGTTAAGACATGTCCGATGCATGTTGTTGCCCGGGAGTACAGTTTGCCAGGGAAGGCAATGTCGGATACTGTATTTGAATTGCCACTATGCATTTCCTGGCTTAAGATTCACTTCAAGAAACGAATGGATGCGTGATCGGAACTGAACGCCGCCCTCTAATGCCATCTCCAAGATAGCAGCAACTTGCACTTCTTCATTGCAGCTTCCAGCGAAGTGTCTCCCAAAAAAGAAAGAAGTACAGTCTCAGAGTAGATGGCGCAATCCCCAAGGTCGGTGGTTTATGAGGACTCCCATATAAAAGACAACGAACTCTCCGATCTTCATCCTTTTGACCCGAATTGACCGTTGTTGTCGTTTCATCGGGGTGGACGAGAATCGGGGTTGACGCGAGCGTGTTAAGCGAATTGGTTGGGGTCCGGGGGGCCGGGGGGCCACGGTGTGTGGCGTGAAGGATCAGAAAAAAGATCTGAAGGCAACACCAACAAACTCTGGGGGTTGGCCCGGCCAGAAGATGGTCACCTGTATTTTGAGATGGGCCCAGATGAGGTCCATTCGGACTGCACCTTTGTTGGCCAGAAGAGTTCAAGTACACCCTTTGGACCAGGTACTTCTCTTGGGAGTTCAAGTACGCCGTGCCGCTCCCTCAGTGAGATCCAGTGCCTGGTTGCCGCCAATAAAAGTACATCATCAGTACAGTAGCCCGAGCTGGCGGGTCGAGCTGGGTCTCTCGAGGTATCTACCAATCTCGATGCCGGTGGCGGTGCCGCTCTTGACGTCCAGCTGGAGGCATTTCAAGAGCCTGCCTGGTGGCCCAGTGGACGGGTACTCGCATGTTGGTACTCGATTTCTGCGGCTTTCCCTCCCAGGTGGCGAGACGATCTGGTGTTCTGCAGAAGATCCATGGTAAACCAGCAGTTTCAATCATGCTTAATGGTGGTAAAACCATGGCAACCGTGTTTATCATGTGGTTTAAACATGGTCGGCTGAGACTGCTGGAGAAAGGGTAAAGAGCCTCAGGGTCCAGTTTGTTTCTTCGGACGTCCCTGCGAGCTGGAGACTGGTTTGTGGCAAATTTTGCGAAATCGGCCTCTGAAGTGTAAGATGGGGGTATATATATAGTTATATATATAGCAATTGGAGTTGAACTTAAGTGTGTAAATGCTCAGACTGTGGCACAGTCTCATGACCAAACGCTTCACAAACTTTCAGAAAGGTCAGATTTAGAAGCTGACTGAGTGACTGGGCCATGTTTCAGAATCCCCAGCTACAGAACTTTCCTCAGCAAATCAGATAGAGGGTTCAGATCAGTTCTGGCGGACCGCCCCCCCGGGGCCATGGATGCCATGCGGTGCGGACTGAGGCTTGGACGTCCTGGATAGACGCTGCTCCGTGGGGTGGACGGTGCGGGCGATTGGCGATGGCCGGGAGACCCTGCCCAGGGGTGGGGGTCATGTAGAGGTGTTGGGAAGGTGCTTTTAGCCATTTCTGGCGCTGGGAAAAGACACCTGCTACTGCAGGGATGGTCCAAGTGATAGAGGTGGTGCAATTTGCTGCATCCTCTCGGAGGAGCAGGGAAGGGCACAGGGATGGTTTCAGGAACTTCCAGTGTCAAATCTTGAAATCAACCAGCCACAAGTGGAAACCTCCACGCTGGCTTCCTCCACTAGCTGCCTGCCATCCTCTAGTGCCTGGACCTTCGGGTCGGGGTGTTTAGGGGGGGCTAGGCCCCTGATCGTAGTAGGGTGGGGCGAAACCAGGTGTTTTCTGACATGAAGGTGCTGGGTGGACATCGCAGGTGCTGGATTTTCACAGCTCCTGGGTGCCCCCTCAGGTGCCGCGCCTCGCTTGTACGCGGCCCTGCACGAGTTCTATTGACTTCGGCCTCGCTCGCTGCTTGCGAAACAAGACACGGGCGGGTGCAACGGGCGGGTGCCACGGGCAGGCGGCAGGCAGAACAAGAGGGGCACGAGAAGAGGGGCCCCATGTGTTCTGAAGGTCTTCATCCACACATATCCACACATATCCACACATATCCACCTTAGGCATCCTGGATGAAATCTCACACATCATCAGGAGTCTGCATTATAGGTGAGCGATCAAAAGGTCTCTCACATCTCACATGAAGATCATGAAGAGGAGAATGCAGACTGGTCTGAAGATCGTTGACCAATCATATGCAGACCGCGGACGCAACTTAGACTTGGGTGCGCTTCTGCTTCCAGATCTACACGGGTTTTCTTCGCTTCTGCCGTTCCCATCGGTTGAACTGTGGCCAGAGGGGCCTGAAGCTGGTGCACGCCGTACACGTCGCCCACATCCAAAAGCAAGATGTCTTTGAACATTGACAACACCCTGTTCACACATTCTCTTCCAAGGAGTCATTGGAACTTTGTTTGAACACTTGTTTTTGGAAAGGACCTGCGTGTAGATCAAAACCTTGGACTCCCGGTCCAAAGCCATGTCCCCTTGTAGTCTATTCTGTTCATTTTCGGTGGTCAACCAAGTCTCCTGGTTTTCACCCACAACCGCATACGTCTTTTCGAAGGCGAACACCAGGCGGTTCTGCCTGATAACCCTCGCCGCGATCTTCCACATGGATCCAATGGGGTCAGTTTTTGGCTCACTCTGGCCTCCCTCCCCACCGCTTGGCGAAGCAACAGGCCAGGTAGCGCATCAGCTGAAACCGCGCATCCTTGCATGAAAACACGAACAACGAGATCTGAGCCACGGAAGACATCCTGGTACAAAACCTTGTGCGAAAGAGTGGGATTTGCTCAGCACATACACTTCCTGAACAAATCATGGAAGTGAAAGTGGAAGATAGCTCCCTGGAAGACCATTTTCCTCTACAAACAGGTGGTTTTCCTCTGGGAGTTGGGATGGATCTCTTCCATCGACACCAATCTCGCACAGGCGATGGAGTCTTCAACGGAGACACATAGCGGGACACATGAGTTAGGTGTCGTTCGCTGGTGGCCCCAGTTGTTCGCTTCGCATGACTCTGACGTGGGGAGACGCTCGGATTGGGTGCGTTTGCCTCGCGGCGGCGTCTCAGATTCCTCTTGGTCTTTCCCAAATCTACCTACAAAGATGGAAAACCCCTCGCACGCAAACCAAACATACACACGAACCATCCCGAACCGTTTTGTTCTGAAACAATATTGCTTTGTCTCATGTTGAGATTTTCGTTCATGCCTTCCGAAGACCACTCGTCCGACCGTCTGACTCGTCGTCCAAGGCCCTGCTACCGCCGGCTACGATCCGAAGAAGCAGCTCTTCGCGGAGGACGTGTTGACGAAGGAGCGAGGGTCAGTGCCGCTGTGTCGGTGGATGCCTCTGTGGGTCGCAGCGCAGCGCAGCAAGCTGAAAAGCGGGCTGGACCAGCATGGGGATCACATGGAGATCACAGGCTTTAAAGGCTCTGAATTCAACCTTCCAGCAGGGCTGCTGGTTGAATTCTCCAGGAGTGGACCAGCTTCTATGACCTCATGCCAGACTCCGATGCTCCCTTCTTGCACTCCACTGACGGAAGAAGACCTTTAAGCCCCTTGGGCGGTCTGGTCGAGTTGGAAGGTCTGGTCTGGTCCAGACGGCCTGAAATTCGACCGATGTGGTGTGTTCTTGTTTTCAATAGGGAGACCAGTCTCTGGTTTTCCACACCGAAAATGAACAGAATCGACTATAAACCATTGAGGAAGTCAATCTACCAGGGTGAACCGGGCAACCCGCTAAAACCCCAAAAGCCAGAGTACCCGAACCTCGCGAAGCGCGAATGGCATTCCTTTGGGGTGCCGCCCAGACCGGCCGAGGCTTGAAAGAGTTGAAGGCATTTATCGTGAGCGATCAGGCGAAGCGCTCCGCGAGCGGTTGTCAGGGGACGGTGATGTTACTAGAGGGGACGCTCACGTGCGACGTGCGACGGCGCGGCTGTCTTCGTGATCTATTCTTTTGCAGCATGGGTTGAAGGAGTGTTTGAATGCATTGCTTCGTGCGCGCTTGGGCACCTTCGATTCCTCAAGGGGGAGAAGCGCTTCAGCGCCCAACTCGGTGTCGCTCACCGAGTCATGGGCCGAGTCGGGATCGGCTTGTGGCCTGACAAACGTACCGCAACCAGCTTCACGGACGCTTTGAGGAGTTGTGGAGTGGCTGGTTGACGCACCACGGAGGTCCACGAGTTGTCGGTTGAAGAAGCAAATTTTGCAGCGGCCGGCCGTGTCACTAGAGACACAAAGGTATTCCTCACGACTGATTGCTTGGAAGCCATGCTCAAGAGAATCAGGACAACCAAATTCACAACCCCAAACCCATCAAAACCCTAAACCAAATCCCTTCCTCCATCATTCTAAAACAAGAATAGCCAACCCGACGTGGGGTATTTTTCAACCACCATCGCCCGTCCCGACGTTTTGGATTCGTGTTCCGTTGCGGCGGACGAACCCTGCGTGGTCAGGTGGAGATTTTGGGACTGGCCCGGGAGGACGCGGCGCGTCGGCGACGAGGGGTTGGCCGCGAGAGAGATGGTCCTCAAGGGTTCTTCGGAACCTGAAATTGGGTTGAAATGGGTTGAAATGAACGAGAACATTGAAAAAAACAACTCATGAAACACTCCCGTGTTTCATGCGTGTTATTTTATTTTGTGTGTGTTTTTCATATGCCGGCGGCGTCGACGCGTGCGAGGATCGACTTTGTACAGCCATCCCCAACGGCAGCTTTGGAGCGAAGGGGGTCGGAGAGGGGTGGGTCGAGCCTGGTCGGAGTTGGCGCCAGGAGGAACAGAGTTCGGACCAAAGCCAGCTGATGGTAGTGTTTTTTGGGTACGCGATTGACTACCTGGTCTACAGGTCCACCACGTGTAGATGAGGCCCTTGAACCTGGTGTTTTTTGGGTTGATTTTTCATACCCTAGGGATCCAGTCGTACCGAACCTCAGGTACGGTGATTGGAGACGATTTACGTAGGCGCCAGGAGGGCCCAGTCGTACCTTCTGAGGTTCGGTATGTGGATCCCTAGGGATAGGAATTGAATATCGGCGGTACAGCGAGCTTACGTACATGAAGCTACACTTTCCGAGTTTCCCCAGTCTACAACTTTGGTTTGTGATTCAGAACTGTGGTAGAACTTGGTAACAACTAGTTTAATGGGAACTACAATCGGACGGCCCCTTTTCCCATTTGGTTTGCTTTTTTGGTTTGTGAAAGAGTGCGACTTGAGTTGTGTATAAGGTTTTAGTGCTATTTACTCAGGTGGATCTCAGGTGAATTTCTGTACAATCGAGAGTGGACCACCTTGGAGTTTCTTTTTGGTTTTGTTTGGTTTCGTCCAAACATTGCTCGGATCCTGGCATGGGCAACCCAACAAAGCGGTGGGCTTTGCTTGGACTTCTTCTAGCTTCGCTTTCATGAATGAAAGGCTCCGAGACTGCTTATATAGTGTCAGGAAGTACCAGTAGATTGGCTCACCTTCGTCGTGTCACGCAACCCTCATTCCAGCGCCAGAAAAGGGCCCCATCCCTTTGGGAGGCGACTGGTTGGGGATGAGGCTGGATTCGAGTCCCAGGCACCCCCACCCAAGTTCAAAGGGCGGCTTGACTGAGTAGGGTCAATCCACTGGCCTCGGAGAGGGCGTCTTGACATGTCCGATGTGTCGAAGACACAGGCGCTGCCTTTCCCTAGGCCCCTAGGCGTCTGTGAGTGTCAGGTCTCCGATGTTTGGGCATCACACCGGCATACCCCACGCGCTTCTAGTCAGACTGGCATACACATGTATGCGCCAAGGCAACCAGTGGAGAGAAGCGTGCAGCCGAAACCTCCTTGGTTTTTTCTGAACCAGCTGGGCATGGAACGACATTCCGTATTCCGTCGTTTTTGGTGGGTGATTTTCCCGCATGTGTTGGAGACTCAAAGCGAAGGTCCTGAAGCCGCTGTGTGCTTCTTCGCTTTTGCTTTAAGATGTACCTTCGTGGGAGCCTCAGAAAAACCCGAGGAGAAGGGGGAGATGAAGGAAAAAGGTGACCAGTCCAGTCCGTCCACCTAGAACCTGTTTTAAACTAAACTCTATTTTAATTCTATTTATTTATTGTTTCTAGCTTCTTGTTCCTAGTAGTAGCTTCTTTGCTCATCATTAGAACTTGTTTTGCCGTTTTGAAGTAGCAACCACCAAAATTATGGTCGGAGATCATATCAAAGCAGGGGTCACACTTTGGGTTCTAGGCTTGTTTCATTTAGACTGATGTAGACTACCAGCATCTACCAGCGAGGTTTCACTTTTTTCAGCGGTTGGATCTTCCGTGCAGATGGCCCTGCCCCCTGCACCACTCCTTTCTGAAACAAATGATCGTAGCACAGGCCAGCTAGCGGCGGCTAGTAGTTCACGTGGTTCAC